AAAGCAGCATTTTGATGCCCCCTAGGCGTCTTAGCCCTTCAGAGACGCAGGGAGTGGGGAGGCTTGTAGGTGCCTGGGAAGTATTGGGTGAAAGTGTGGTGTTGCGTGAGGCAGCTGGTTGAAGTAGATGGGCCTGCTTTAAAGAAAATAACAACAAGTGAGTCCGTTGTTGTCCTTCATCACGTTGTCACAGGCGAGAAGTTGGCGCTGTGCAATTATCGAAGCAGGTTGCACATGTTGTGAAAGGCTGCGAGGAAAAAGGCCGTGCTTTGATGAGACACACAAGGTGCTGCCGGAGAAACCTGCCAGCCAGACAAGAGGCCTGGCTAATGTTTGCCACGAAAGAGGTCGACCCAGTGTCGTCTTTCATTTGCATCAAAATAGCAATCTCGGAACAGGTTTTCAGGGGCCACACTCTCATCAGGTTTCCATTTAGTCTGGAATGATTAACGCCAGGACCGCCTAACGAGTCCAGCCTCCATCTTTTAGCTGATATAATTTTGCGCCCCACTTCCATGAACCCTCTTCAAACTGCTTTGGAACCCCCCCCTCCCCAAAGCAGCTACTGTAGTGCAGAGAACAAAGAAAGCAGTCACCGGAGAGGAAAGAATGAGCGATTAGCTGTGTGCTGCCCTTTGATCAGGTTGGGGATTGTTTCTCCATCGTGGTGGTTTATCTTTATCTTTTGCGGTTGACTAACGCTGTTAGATCGATAAATCCAGATGGAGTTAGACGATAATTCTGCCTCAGCACTGGCCTCATTAAAGCGGACATTCAGGAGATATATAGCTGCTGGCAAGCACCTTTTTTCTTGTATCTATAGCATTACAGCATGATGTACAGTATATGGGCTGCCTGAGGCTGGTCAGTGGTCAGCAGGGAGAAATGACGTCCCTAGGTTCACATTTTAATGAAGTGCGTATAAAAAGCTTAGATTGAAGGTGCAAACAGACTCAGAGGTCATTATTTCCATTAATGCGTCCACAGAAAGTGAAGAGGTTTGCTTTTGTTAACACCAGTAGAGAAGCTGATGTCAGGCACAGCTGTAAAATGTTGATGAAAGATCTGTCACTTCCTGCTTGTTTCCTTCTCCACTTCCTGTCTCCAGAGGAAGTGCCACAAACCAAATTACCTGCTGTTCTCTGACCTTTGACACTTCAGTCACAGTTTAACGCTTGATCAGCAGCATTAAAGGGAGTCCTGGAGAAAACATGAAGGGCTACCTCTAATGGTGCACATTCTGTCGACTTTGCTTCACTCCAAACAACCACATTCATTCAGTGAGTTTTTAAATTAAAGATAATAGTGTTTATTTGGTTGAATCACCATTATCAATGAAAGGGTTGAACTGGTGCACACACAAAAAAATCTTTAAAATAAAAATAACTGCTCTGCCTGGAAAAATAAAAACGTACTGTTTGGCAATTTTTAAAATTAAAAATTTAAATATTTTAAAGAACTTTAAAATGCTACCAAACATGACTGAGAAAAAAAAGAAAAATCAAACTTTTAATGGTTATTGGTTGTACATTATTTAGAGTATTCCTTTAAAATAAAAAAGAGGAGACCTTATCAATGATAAACAGGAAAGGAAGGGTATCCAGTTCTTTCTTATTTGAGTCAGTTTCTAAAAACCTGAATTTTCTGTATAAAGATTTTTCATCAAACTTTTTTTTTAAATTGAGAAAGAACAATTTCCATTCTTGCAATTCAGTTCAATTCAAAAAGACTTTATTAATCCCAAAGGCAAATTAAAGTAATATGAGTCTTTTAGTGACCATAACCCCCAGACTGCTGCAGACTGTAGAGATTTAAATATGTTGGGTCTAAGTACATCCAGCTGGGCCTCAGGGTGTAAAATTCTTTCATAATCTTGAATATCAGCCAAATATTTTTGATCAAAATCCAGCAAGAGAAGTGTGGGTCTAGAAAACTGGGGGCAGTGTGCCTAACTATGACAGACAGTTGTCTCATATCGGTGAGAGATGGATAAATATTCTGCAGCTTACGTTTTGAATAATGTAGGCCCGAGGTCTTCAACCCTGTTCCTCCTGACCCACTGTCCTGCATGTTTTAGATGTTTTCCTGCTTCAACACATCAGACTGAAATGAATAAGTGATTGTCCGGCTTCTGCTAAACCTGATGACACTCTGAGTAATTTAATTATTAGAATCAGGTGTGTCAAAGCTGGGAAACAGCTAAGAGGTTAGAGATGGTGAGCCTGCGATTGGGAAGGTTGCTGGTACAACTCCCCAGACAGATAACAAACGTGGATGGGCAACTGTCAATTGTTGCCCCAATTTTTGCACCCTCATTTGGCCCTTGAGCAAGGCCTTCAAGCCCCCCGGCAGCTTCCCGAGTGTCTTAGCTGGCAGCCTACTGCCCCACATGTGCACTCACATGTGCAATGGAAAAAATGTAGAGAACTAATTTCCCCATTGGGAATTAATAAAAGACATTTACAGACTGAGCTGCCTTGACTGACAGTTTTTAATCTCAGTATTCTCATAGTATCACACCATTTCACACTGGGACAGGAAGTGTGAGGCAGTTTAAGTATGATTTATTGTGACATTGTTTAAATATGTTCTGTTGGTTTTTGTTATGGTTCTGTTAGTCTGACTAAGCTATATGGGAAATTTTCTTTTATGTGGTTTAGTTTTATGAAAAGACAGGTATGTATGAACCGTCTATCACACAAGAACATTATTTATTTAGCAGGCTCAGTTACTGCTTAACATATAAGCTTCATTATAAACTGCAATTGTTGACTGATATCATGCTTGCAAACTGGAGCTCCTTGTGTATGATGCTAATTGGGCTGAACTGTTGCTGATTGCACATAAAGCTGGTGTGTGACAAAATAATATCTCCATATCCGGACCTTGTGCCGCCATGAAAAAACCCCACTAAATTCTAATTTCTACCCAAGAATGTAATGTAACTGTTTAATAAATGTTACCATTGTCAGACTCCAGAGTTGGGGAAGTTCCACAATGAAAAGGTCTTGGCTTTACTTGAAGAGAGGTCTTTTTGTTTCCATTGCTCTTCCAATTGTAAATTGAATTATTTGAAATGAAATTAGCAGATGTTCTGATGGATATTCTGCTGTCTAACAAAAAAAAGGATAGATAGATACTGGTGATGTAACATTGTCAACAGAACTTGAAATATTAGCCGAGGTTATTCAATTACCCTCTGCCTTGATGTTCAATTTGCCCACAATCCCCATGAACCTAAATGCCAATTATAAATTGGCAAGTGAGTTCTTCAGGAGGAAACCGTTCCTCTCATGTTTATTTGCGACCGCTTTGTTGGGCTCTCAGTGGTCTGGCCTTTCTGGTCCCCCCCACCCTTGAGGCTTCATCCCATTGTTGTGCTTTCTCAGCCGTCTGCGCCGATCTCTATCCGCACCCCCATAACTGATTCAATGAGGTCCCTGCATCCCATTGGTGCTCCATTTTCCTATGAAAGCGTTTCCATGGAAACCACAAAAAAATAATGCAAACCCTCAACACTGTTGGTCTCCTCTGGCTAATAGCTCTCCAAACAGGGGTTCAAAAGAGACTACCTCTGCAACAGGCTCCAGGGTAAAATTGGAGCACTCGGCTGCTCGGTCCTATTACAGACCACGATAATGACAATTACTTACTCGTCTGCCTCTTTTGTAAAATTCTGAAACAAAATGGAAAAAAGGATTACTGCATTGTTCTGCCTGGGGGATATGTTAGCTAAGCCATATGGTGAATATTCTGTAAATGACTCTTTCAGTTAGCACACATCTTCTGGCTCTCGGTGCTTGCAAAGCTACAGTTATTGTGGGTATTTTTTTTTCAAGCTTGCACAATTACAACGTGTATCATCCAGGTGCATCTCTCCAATTTGAAGATGTGTCCCTTTTCCCTCACTCGGGCTTTGATGGCCTTTTTTCCAGATGCAATCAGGGTCTCACATTTTGTATGTGGGAGGATGTGTTGCTGCCGCTGTCACTTGGGTTTTGTGTCCTGCTTGAATGTGATGTCTGCTGGCAATATGGTGTGTCGACGGGATGATGTTGCTGGCTCTATCAGCCATAATACCTCAGGGGATATTCTCCATCCTCTCCGTCCTTGTCAGAGAACACCCCATCTGCGAGAGCTGCACACTGCTGGCGTCTTCGGAGACAGCTCTCTCCGCATTCGGCGCAGGCTTGTCAGTGCCAGGGCTTTGAAACTGGCTCCAAAGTGCAGTCAGTAAAAATTGCGCTGCCGACTATTTTTGCACACAGAGGGCTGGAGTAGCTGCAGTTTAATTGGCGCTCATTGCTAGATTGTTATTTTCAGCAGGGATAGGGTTGTGGCTAAGCAATTTAGGGACAGGAAAAAAAGAAAAAAGTTTAAAGCCTTTGTGCTCATTAGACACACTTGGTTGGAGACATTTCTTCCATTGACAGTTAAAGTCAGCAACGTGTGCTTAAAAAAAGTGAGGTATTCTACTTTCAGTGAATAATGTATGAGTTCAGACACTCCTCAAGGTCAAGTCAGGAGCTCTGAGAGGAGAATGTGATGTGTTGGGTTTTCTATTAATGGACAATTAACCTTTGGAGAACCTCCATAGATTCTAATACCTGGAAGAAGGTAATAACATTTTACTTGGATGCAACAATAATCTAGTACTATTACATTTTTTTCTTTCTTAATTTTGCCTCACAGCTAAGAGTGAAATATTCACACAGATAAAACACTTTAGCAGTCTTATAATAGTGCACTTCTGGGAGCGAGTGATTCATAAATAATAAATGCAAACTCTATCATTTTAAGTGTCCTAGAATTTCATTTTTGTGGGTGCGTGTTTTTTCTATTTTTTTTAAGCTCACAGTTTTACTCCTCTCATATTTACGGCTCTTACTAAGACAAACGGTTCCACTTCTCTTTCTGCTCGCAGGTGCTTTTCAGTTTATTCGTCCCATTAAACTTAATTCTGACCCGTGTTTTTCTCCCTCTGTGCTTCTGCCCAACAGCCCATGAAAACAGGAGAGGAGAGAAGAAAAAAAACCCCGAGGAGAGTCAACACTTCACCTGAGCGAAGACGAGCAACAAAGAGATACGAATGGTATGCAAGTGTTTCATCTTCAAACATTGCTCACACACCAACTTTCATCTTCAACATGGTCATGCATAAAGCAGTCTTTACTCCCTTTGATTTCCTGCAGTAGGGCGCAACGGCTGCCATGGGGTCTACCTCAGCACACGCATGCTAAATCGGTGAGAGTCACAGCAGAAAGAGCTTGTTGACAGACTCTTTTCAGTAAGATGCTGACAGCAGGGGCGCAAAGCCATTGTTACCGTTGACAGGAGGCAGAGTGGCGGAGCGAGAGCTGGTGCACCGGGTTCGGTCCTTCAAACGCACAAAAAGAGTTTTGTCCTTTACTCATCACAGCAGGTCGTACTGGTCTTTCCTAGGCTCTGATTTGCACTGACATTTGTTCCATTAGCATTCTGGGCATGTCTGAGCAGTCGACATGCATGGATCGAGAGGTTAAAGAGGAGTTAAACCCAACAAATCAGCTGCAGCAGATTCATACACACTGTTCAACAGGCAAGGAAGGCTCTGTCTTGATTATATCACACCCGATTTAAACTGTTTTACTGTTGATGTCAAAGCCACACCGTGTGTGAAGGTTTGTGCATGTTTGCACAACATGAAGCCATCAGTGAGTGATGAAACAGCTTTCAGGCTTTCTACACAGGGGAGCTGGCTTGATCCAAGCTAACATATGGTCGTTCGACCAGAGTGTAAGGGATTGCTCATTAGACAAATGGCTGGCCAAACACTGTCCCCACCTCCTGTCGTAAAGTGCCCGCCTGTGCTCCCCTTTGTTTTCCAACAGGAACTGGTGCAAAGTGAAGATGCCAAACACTCCTCTGCAGACAAAAGTCATTGTCACCATTGTCCTGGTTACCTTAGAGACCAAGGTTTATGGAGGTTAGGATGGATTTCTGGGTGAATTTAAAGACAAGCCTTTAGATTTGGATTAAAAAAAATCTGCATTTAAGCCATGGGAAAGTGGAAACTATTTGTTTTTATCTTGATGTAAAAGTGTTTTTTAAAATTATTTTTAAACTATGTTCTTTGTTTAATCCACTAAAAGTAAAAGACCATTATTTTCTTCTACTCTGAATTTTAATAAGACAACAGCCACGTCCTCGACTGTGTTTTGAAAAAGTTGTTAAAAAGTAATTTTATCAGCTGTTTTTCAATTTGCAGTTTGTTTGCAGAATGCTGTAAAACTAGTATTTGAGCTGGTTCACAGTAATCTAATTAAAATTTTCTTTTTTTGTATATAATCTGAGTTTTTCAACAGCTCATGTTCTCTCACTTTACTCGTTTTTCTCATTTCTGCTTTTGATACTGTTTCATATAATCCTTTTATTTTATTTATTTATTTATTTTTATTTTTGTATCACTATCAGTTCCAGAGTTACCATTATCCCTTTATAGCTATTTAAACCCTAAACATTTCCAAAGGCAACCTAAACCTAGGTCTCCAAGGTTCAGCACCAGGAGGGGTTTTAGTTTTCCGCTCCATCTACCAACCTGTTCGGATCATTGCTCACAACAACCAGTTGCTCACCCCAACCCAACCCTGGAAGTCTTTCCTCAGCTTTACAACTTGACAAGTGCTGCGAATTAGCTGTTGCTATTGCACCATGATGCAAACATGGGACTGCTGTTTTATTCAGTTTGTCTATGTCGATGTGTGTCTGTCCCTATTAAACTTCCCTTGAAACTCATTTTCACATTGGTTTATCCAATGTAACTCCACTCTTTCACTGGTTACCACAGTTAATCAACGTAGTCTACAAAAAAAATGGCTATATTGCAGTTATTTTTACAGATATTGAGCTAATATTTGGTGGAGTACTTGCTGAGATGTAAGACTTCAGCATGGTCTCTCGGGAGCCGACCAGATGACACGCTGTCATGTTGTTCGGCGTTTGTTTGGCACATACATTTCAGCTGCAGCATACTGCGTGCTTTATCCCATCACATACTTATTACTAACAGAACACGCAAAATGTTTTTGTTTTGTTTTGTTTACATTTTTCATCTGCTCGTAACACTTTTTGTCTGTTAGGAATTTTTGAGTTTTCTGAAAAATCATCAACAAAATGTTTTGTTTTAATTCTTAATACTTTTTTTTAATTGCCCTTGATAGGAGAATTTTTTTAATCACTGGCTGGTAAAATAGATTCTATAAAGTACAACTAATATATAAAATAACAATGTCACAAAACTTATAGAACTGCCTGCCTAAAGCAAAACAACAAAACAAAAGGCAGACTAAGATGTGTGGGGATATAATTGCTCCTGCTGTGTAATTATGAAGCATATCAGTTTGAATTGAGTTATAACTCATTTTTGTGGAAATCCCCAAAGGCGATGTCTCATCCTCCAGAGCACCATGTGGGAAAAGTCCCAGCAGCTGTGCAGAAGTGTTTATGTGTTCATTGTGCTCTGCTATCACATGCCCTCAGTGCCAGACAACCAGCAGACGAACTGCAGGGGATCAATGCATCACTTGGGCTGGGTATCGATCCTTCTCCCTGCAGCCGGTTCATATCTTCATTTAGCCCGATAAAGGTGATGAAACAATTAAATAAAGTGTTCATAGGTTCAGCAGAGACCAAATCCTGCTTATCTTCTCAATAGATCCTCGACGGAAGTTAAATATCAAGGAGTTATCGGTGCCTTTCCTGCTTACCTAATCTTTCTGACCTCGAGGAGCTGCTGCAGGAGTCCTGACAACAGTTAGCACAGAGCTAACAGCTGGATGGGTGCCCAGTTGGGATGTCATGAATGTGGCCCGCAGCGATGTCAGCAACACATGGTCTGCCTGTTTTCTGACTGCATTAGTTCATTGTGGGAGTTTTCCCTGATTAATCACCCTGTTGTTCAGGAGTGTATCAGCTGCCCGGTCTGATGGTTTCTGCCCTCTGGGATGAATACAGTATCTATCCTACATGAATGGGTCAGGAACTTTCAGCCTCGGACAGAGAGATTTACAGCACACACATAGAAGCAATTTAATTAAACAAACAAACAAATAAATAAAAATCTAGTTATTTGACTGATGCTTTTCATGCTAGACTTTTTAACTAAGTACATCTTTAAAAATGGCAGATGTTTATTTTTTTTATTTTCAGATTTTCAGAATAAGTGTGATCAGACCAGGGTTATTATAGTTAACTAAAACTAACTAAATAATGAAAACTGAAATTAAAAAAACATTTCAGTTCACAAAAATAAATAAAAACTGTAATAAAATGAAAAAAAAGTAACTAAAACTGTATTATCTTTTTACAAGACTAACTAAAACTAACTGAAATTATAGATAGAATTTGCTTAGTTTTAGTGTTTGTCAATTTATTTTGAGCCATGTGGATCTTTTATTTATTTATTTTTAATCAAGTAGTTTCACATTAGCTTATGGCATCTCATGGTCCATAACAACACTTGTTTACAGTCTGCTGCTGCTCAGCATCGTCTGCTAAATGATGACAACAAAAGTTGGGAGAAAGTAGCAATGTCCATTTGGGATTTCTTTGAATTCGACTGGGAGAAAAATAAAATCAAGTGTCTTGTAGTGGTAACAGGTGATAAAACTGGTGGGATACTTCTCAAGTGAAAAACTGCATTAATCAAGCTTGCACAAGATGACTATGACTATCTTGACACACTAACTTCTCTCAGTAGCTCCTGTGAAAAACAATCAACAGGTAGCACCGGGTTGGAAACGAATATTGTCTAAAATAATGACCCAAGTTTCTACTTGGCAAAATTGAGCTACACAATTATTTTAGGAAGATGTCGCTATAATGGACTGCTTTAAGTAGTGACCAAATAGCTGTTGGTTAGTTAACTAAAAGGAACATCACAAGCTTGAGGATTCACTGGCAAATATGTTTATTTAAACTATAAAAAACTAATACTGGAACTAATATAAACTAAACTAAAGTAAAACTAAGCATTGAAATGCAATAATGACTAATAAAAAACTAGCAAATCCACTGTAAAAACTAATTAAAACTAACTGAATTAAAAGAAGAATGTCACAATGAAATAAAGCTATAATGAAAAATTCAGAACTATTATAACCTTGGATCAGACTGAATATTGGAGAAGCTCACAAACTCGGTGTCAGAATGTATGTTGACAATGGTTTTGCCCACACCACACCAATATTTAGCTCAGTATCTATAAAATATTTCTTTTCTTTTCTTTTAATGATTAGCTGTGGTGGCAATCTAATACTGGCTTAACTTCAAAAGGCAGTGATTACTTTCTGAGAGTTTCACTTACTGTAAATCTGCCCAGTAGTTCATGAGATATTTTTTCTGACAGACACACAGAGTTGAGCCCAACAGTTATTTGGTGGTGGGTGATAATAATAAAGGGCTTTGCAAGATTTAGTTTTGGGGCCGTTAAGTTTCATTTTTTTATTTTATTTTTTATTTTTTATTTTTTGATATTATTCAAATTGTAAGATCTTATGTTGCTAAGCTTACCTGTGAATAAAAAAAATTATAACTGCCTATACATTTAACCAGGACTGGGTATTTTTGCAAAAGGTTGTTAGTTTTCTGACTTTCCTAACCTATCAGTGCCTCCGCTCTGCCCACTACCACCCACACTCTTTCACTTGCCTTTGAGCAACTTCAGGACACTTTCTCTCTGCAGTTGTTCCTTGTTGGTTGGAAACTTTACGCCTTCTCCAAGCATCCGAAGCCATAGCTGATCTGTATTCACCACACTTCAAAGCTCCACAGTGAGACAGCACAGCCCTGGGCTCATTCTCCCCTAATTGGAGGTTCATTAAGGGACACGGCGCACCTTAGGGGGACCCCATTCGTTACCAGAGGATTTCAGAGGGTGTTTATTTAGCTGTGGCTGATTTAGGAAGTTGTAGAGAAATGGGAAAATGAGTTTGTAACTGAAATAAAGGGTGATACGGCACGTTTGTGTTGTGTCTTAGTGTCGTTGTCAGAGGATATTAAAGCACGCTGAGCTGTGGAGAGGCAGACACCTGCTCCAGCTAAAGCCTGGGACCA